CGTATATCAACTATATACCCAGTATATATACTGTCCCGATTACATCAAAAATAACCTTGGATGTTTAGTTTATTGGATTTTGGACAATGCAAAGCTATGATTCAACAACAAATTTATTGAATAAAATTTTATTAAATAGACATTTGTTTTTACAAAATACAAACTACGAGTTTAGGGCAACACACCCAGCAACTTTAGCATCTTTGTATTGTTTTTATTCCTACGTTTTGTTTGACTCTCCTTATGGCATTGTCTAGCTAATTAACTTGTGTAAGGGGGAGATGTTCTAAACTCATTTCCTGGGTTGTAACGTTGTTGTTTGCTTTAATGAAAGTTTGCTTTGAGTTGAAGTTGTTTTATCACTCTATTTTCAATGTGCTTGATCATCATGTTGAAATACCTCTTTGATAATGTTTGGAAAAATGTATTAAGGAGCGAAACCTTTCATCTTGAGCTAGAGTCTACTTGAGTTTAGCGTGTGGTGACTTAGTGATGAGCATCACCTAGCTTGGTTATAAAAACTGTGCGTATATGCTGTTAATGTTTGTCTATGAACGTTAGTAGTAGAAAATATGGGGTGTTTGGAAAAACATCTTGTCTGTTTGACCACTGCATTTACTCCGTTAATGCTGCAGCATAGTTAGGGTGGCCCAGAAGAGTGGATTTCCTCTCCCCCTTGCGCCCTTATTTTCATAAGATCTTATTTAGCAACTGTGGATGTTTGGTAACGCTAGCAAACTTACTACTTGTGATTGATTTAAGATAATTATTAAAAGGTTTTTATCTCAGCAGTTTTTAGCTATTAGTTGGAAGAAAACCCCTTGGCATATTGCATTGTTTTCTTGAGTGAGTATTGAGTGTAAGCATCAAGTCTTCGTGGATTCGAACTTTTATTACTTGCTGCAACGATTGTGTATACTTGCACATATAAGAATTGGTAGCACAATTAGTTGACAACATTGGCATAGGGACCGGGCGGAAGAGATCGGGTTGTGTCTTGACCCGAAGGCCAAGACAAGAAGCCGGCGTCGAGGCGGGTCGGTTTTCAAATTGGGCTGGCCCTTACGTTATGGGTCGGCCACCATTCGTTGATGATCTCGGGCTTCTTCTTCTTTCACGGTCCGACCTCTCATCTCGTTTGGATTGTTTTTATTCCCTATAATAGAAAAATCATTCAAATCACAAAGTTATATACCAATAATCATATTTACCCCTCCCACTTCAAGAATTTTAAAGTTTAGATTTTATATTTTAAAAGTAAAAATGATTAAATTTCAAAATCTGTCTTAACAAAAGTTAACAATATTTATATATTTTCGATTTCGATTCCAAAATATAGAGAATAAATTTTAAAATTAGATTTAGTTGTTTAAATTTCATTTTTCATTTTTTGATTTGTTACTGTTGATGATTCCCTACAATTAAAACCCATTGTTCTTGCTATTCAGTCTACAAATAAATCTCTAAAATCAAGCACATATTAATAATTTGTTACAGAGGTATATATTTCTCTAAAATACTATTTAGGATTCTAAAAAAACTTTCAATATCATATATGTTTGGCAATTTTTTAGAACGTCTTATTTATTTTGGTGGTTATCTAAAATCAAGAGAATTTATAGTAGGTGTCCCCATTTGTCACCCGTCATTGAAAAATGGTCAAATCATCTTTGGTAATGAAAATTTTCCATCTGTATTCTTTCAACTATTTTACAAGTATGCTTTTGACACTTTTACCCTTTCTATTTGGTTATTAATTTTAAAATCAAAATATCCTAACTTCCATTATCTCTTGTAGGTTCTCTCCCTCCTTAATTCTTGTTTTTTTTTTCAACCACTATCATTATAAAGTTAGATATATACGTGGAGACAGAATTAAGGAGACATCATACTGAATAACAATGAGGGAGAAGGTCAGAGAGGGAGCCGAGTTGACAAAGGGAGAAGATGCAGACAAATTGATGGAATCGAGCGAGGGAACAGGTGGGGCAATGCAGTGGGTGATAGAGCCGGTTGCAACTAGGGTGGCACGTGGTGGAGGGTAAAGGGGTTTGAGGTAGAGTGCTTTATATTTTTGTATTAATTTTTGAAAACAATAGACCTTATTTCTTTACACTATTTGTATTTATTTAGTTGATCTTGTTCACCATATTTGTTCCTCTCTCCTTGTTTTTATATTTTGTATTAATTATTCACAAAAATACTCATCTCTTCACCGTATTTGTTTATCTTTTCACCGTATTTGTTCCTCTCTTAACTGTATTTGTTGTATTTTTGTGTTCATTGTTTTTGTTGTACTTTTGTTTCTCTGTTTACCGTATTTGTTCATTGATTTGTTGTATCTCTATTTCTAATTACATTTTGTTTATTAATGTTTATGATATATTCTTTTTCTCCTTAGATTTGTTAGTATATTTCTCTTTAAAGTTGGTTGGAAAAATATTTGAAATAAAAAATATAGGTGAGATTCTAAAAATATTTGAATTATCGTATAAAAATGTTTAGGTAGGATTCTCCTATAAAAAAAATAAAAATAACTAATTATTTTAAAATTATTTTAGAAGAGGGTAATTTTGTACCTAAAACAATGTACATGGTTGGCTATTATTCAAAAAAAAAAAAAAAATTGTTTGACCATGTTTTAAAATTGCCTATTTTAAATGATATATCTAATGTTACCCCTAAAATCAATTCTATCTTGAAAAAAAGCTAGAGAATTTATAGCAGGTATCCCTATTTGTCACCGGTTATTGAAAAATGGTCAAATCATGTTTGATAATGAAAAATGTCTATTTATATTATTGTAACTGTTTTGTAAGTTTGATATTTGACACTTTTATCCTTCTATTTAGTTATTAGTTTTAAAATCAAAATATCCTAACTCCCATTTATCTCCCCTATATTCTATTTGATCTCGTAGATTGTAGTTTATTTTCCCCGACCACTATTATTATAAACTTAGATATATATGGAGATATAATTCACCAATTATAAGGAGATATCACAGAGACGATCAGAGAGGGAATCTATCAGAGTCGAATTGACAACGGGGAATCAAGCGAGGGACAACGATGAGGCAAGACAGTGGGTGATAGAAATGGGATGCAGGTGGGGCAGAGGGAGGTGGAGGGTAAAGGAGATGGAGGCCTATATGTTGAGTTTCCATAGTTTGTATATCTTTTTGGTTTGAGGTTAGAGTGTTTTATATTTTTGTATTAATTGTTCAAAAAAAATATATCTTATTTCTCCACACTATTTGTATTTCTTTAGTTGATCTTGTTCACTGTATTTGTTGTTCTCTCCCTATTTTTATATTTTTGTATTAATTGTTCACAAAAATATACCTTATTTCTTCACACTATTTGTATTTCTTTAGTTGATTTTGTTCAATGTATTTGTTACTCTCTCCTTATTTTTATATTTTTGTATTAATTGTTCACAAAAATACACCTCTCTTCACCATATTTGTGATTGTACTTGTTGTTTTCTTCGTATTTGTTATATCTTTGTTTCTTTCTTCACCATATTTATTATACTTTTGTTTCTTTGTTCACCATATTTATTGTATTTTTTTATTCACCGTATTTTTTATTTGTTGTTTTTGATTATTTTTTCACTGTATTTGTTCATCCATTTGTTCTAATTCGAGTGTTAGTCTTTGTATTTATAATTTACATTTTGTTTATTAACGTTTATTAGATATTATTGTTTTTCCTTAGATTTGTTATATAATTCTCTCAAATATAGGTAGGATTCTAAAAATATTTGAATTATCCTATAAAAATTGTTAGATAGGGATGCCCTATGAAAAATGATCGTCATTAAAACATTAGTACAAATCTTCCTATTTTTACATTGGTCATTATTGAAAAGTATAAATTGTTTGGTCATATTTTGAATTTGAAGTTGTTTATTTTAAAGGGCTATATCTAGTTATCCCAAAACACTATTTACCCAAAAATCCAATTTTCAGCCCAGCCCATTGTAAAGTAAAAAGGCCCATTCTGTTTATTTCATTTTCAGTCAGTCTTCTTTGTAAACCATTTCTCTCTCATCTTTTCACTCTACCTTCTAGGGCAGCACCCAACGCAGCCGCCGGTACTCTCTCTCTCTAACGCTGTGACAATCGTATGCAATTTTTCCTATGCATTCTCAACTTTTTGATCTTTCCCATTCTCAACTTTAAGTAGCATCTTTCGATCTTTCATTTCTCTTTGTTTTCATTTTGGTTACTTGCCTCTCTCTCTCTCTCCATTCCTCTTAATTTATTGCTTCGTTCTGGCAGGGGGTGAGTTAGATCAGCGATGGCACCTAAAGGTACGCCCGCATTATCCTTTTTGGTGTTTGTTTCAGTTCGGAATGTTCATATCTTCGAATTTCTGTTGTTTATGATAATCTAGAACGGGGCTACTATTCGAAACCTAATTTCTGAAATCAACTGCTGCTCTTAACTGCAACAACTAGTGTGCTTTCGATGTGCCAGTTGTTTATGCTACTTCGGATAGATTAAAAGAATTGTGTTGTTCTCTGTGCGCTATTTAATGGTGGTTAGTTGAGACGAACCCTCTATGTCTGTACCAAGACAAAGTATTGGTTTAATATGTCCTCTTGCTTTTATTCAGTGCTATTCCTTCAAGTATTTTAGATTGTCCTGTTTTTTTGGTTTGATGGATCCAAGTTCTCAAGACAGTTTAATGAATGTGTTCAATGTGAATTGTATTGAATATACTGGTGGAATCTGAGCTGAATAAACTGCAGGTTGTACTGCATCCATCCTTAATGACTATGAATTTGTGTTTTTGGTCTTTTGCAGCTGACAACACCAAAAAGGCTGATCCTAAAGCTCAAGCCCTGAAGACTGCCAAGGCAGTTAAATCTGGGCCAACTTTCAAGAAGAAAGCGAAGAAGATTAGAACATCAGTCACATTCCATCGGCCGAAGACATTGAAGAAGGACAGGAATCCCAAGTATCCTCGGATCAGTGCGACACCGAGGAACAAGTTGGACCAATACCAAATTCTTAAATATCCACTGACCACTGAGTCTGCGATGAAGAAGATTGAGGATAATAACACCCTTGTCTTTATTGTCGATATTCGTGCTGACAAGAAAAAGATTAAAGATGCTGTGAAGAAGATGTATGACATTCAGACGAAGAAAGTTAACACTTTAATCAGGTATACTTTATGAATTTAGAAGCTGCACTTGCTAGTAGAGCATACCATCATCATTTACATTGGAAATTGGTACAGTACAGAAGGAAGAATAGTTTAGTTCATATCATTCTTTCTAGCTTTCCTGATAGAAATACCGCGCATGGCTGTTTGTGTTTCATTGTGCATATTATTTAAGTCTTCAGTCTTTAAATTACAAGTTTAGTCCTGAACTTTAAGTTTGTATCTAACAAGTCTATGAATTTTAAAAAATTAGTAGATCCCTAAATTTTCAATTTCTTACCTAGTTTAATGGCTATTGGTTGATTCTTTTTGTAATAGTGTCCATATTACGGCATCTTGGTGGTGCCATAGGAATAGAAAATCCTTTTGTAATTACAACCTCTGTGATTTTACAAGATTGGAGAAAAAACCTGATTGGAGAGCTTTTCTTTTTTAGTGTTCTTTTGGGAAGGGGACGTCTCGGTCCTTGTCCTTAAATTGTTCTTTTGTTTCCTTTTTTTCAACGAATCATTTGTTATCAAAAAATAAGAAATAAAAAATAAAAAATAAGAAGTTCCTATCAATAGGTCATTGAATTTTAAAACTGTCTAATAGATCCTTAAATTTTAAATTTTGTGTCTAACAGGTTATTAGGTTCTTGACATATTCGACAATTTTTAAAATTCATGGACTAGAAGACATTAATAGAGCCTCCTACTTTTAATTTTGTGTTTAATAATTTCATGAATTTTACAGAATGTTGATTAGGTTATGGACTTATTAGGCATAGAATTGAAAATTCTAAGACTTAATCGATACAAAATTATGAGATTAGGGATTAGTTAGACACATTTTAAAGTTCAGGTTCTATTAAATGCAAAATTGAAAATTCATAGACTAGACTTGTAATTTAACCTGCTTTTTTGTATGTATAATGTTTCTTGATGATGACTGATGTTCTAGGAATGTACGATCTTGTGCAGGCCTGATGGAACGAAAAAGGCATATGTTAGGTTAACCCCGGACTATGATGCTTTAGACGTGGCAAACAAGATTGGAATTATCTAAACTTCCTAGGCAAGTGTTTTTAATTCAGTCGTGACAGTTTTGTTCTGATATTTGAGTACATCTTGTCCGTGCCTCTAATTTTTCTACCTGTTTTTTCTTATATATATATATATATATATAAATATGGGTAATTTTTAGTTAGCTTCAATAGACTGAGTTCAAAGTACCTGGAATATGTGTTTGAAATGTATTAGTTATCGCTTCAAATACCTTAGTCACACTCCTGAATTCTCTACTTTATCACTTTTGACTTTTCAATGGATGGTGGAGTGTCATGTGGCCATTGAGAAAAGTAAAGAGGCTTAAGAGGAAATGAGTTCAAGTAATGATGACTATCCTCCTTAACAAGTGATTAGTCGGGAATGTAGTATAGTTAAATGGTTGTCTCGTGAAATTAGTCGGAATGTAATAGGGATAAGTAGCTGTCTCAAATCTCACAATTTGATCTAAACATTCAAGGATATTGAGAGGAAAATGGCATTCAACGGTAGTGCTGAACAAAAATGTAGGACAGTGTAACAGTAGAGAAAACTTGTTAAATTCTTCCAAGTATTTGGTTGATCTTCTCCGGTTTCTTTTTTTTTCTTTTTCTTTTTTTTTTTTTAAAAAAATTATTATTGAATCATGATGTAGGGATTTTGAACAGAGAGAACTTGCAAGAGATGAACTTAGATGTTGCCCATTTCTAACTCACAGAAGATGTCATTTATCAATCAGGGATTGTTTTGTTGGGGTAGATTATACGCAAATTAAAATGCCATTATGGTCTAAAATTTTTAACTTATTCTATTTTAGATCCTGTACTTTTAAATGTTTAAATTTGTCTTTGTTCTTTCTATAGATCCTAGTTCGAGGTTAATTTCCATGGGACTTGCAAAAATAAAATAGAAAACCTAGCACTCAATAGTGGCAGTTAAGGTATATTTGATTTTGGCTTAGAAAACTATTAATGGTTCAAATCTTTAATTAATTAGGGAGCATTTTGATTGGTGATTTGAAAATAGAAATAATAAAAATAGTGTTCTATTCATTTTTAAAATTATTAAGTTGTATTTAGTAATATATTTATAAACCAGTGTAGATACTAATTAAATATGTAGTTGAATCTAAAATATTATTAATAACTTATAAAAATATATATTATCAATTTTGATTAATTATTATATTTACAGTATTATATAATTTACAATATATTATATTTTACATATTTTAATTTTAACAAATATAAAATGAGTTTATAACATGAAATGGTGGATATATAATTTTTTTTTTAATTCCTTTTGAATGTATATTCAGTTGGTGACCTCAAATTCTTAAGATGTTTCCCTTTAATATTTCTTTAGCTGTTGTATTTAATATTTTCAATACCCAATTCTTTTGTTCGGATTTATTTATTTTCGAAGAAGATTGAGTAATTATATTTATAGTACTTGTTTGAGTTAGAAATTCAATGACACTTTTCACTTCCATTAAAGTTCGACGTTAACGAGATGATTTTTTTCATCTAAAATAGAAAAATACCGCCCCTTCCTATTGTCTACACTAACTTAGCTTGTGCGCACCTCGCCTAATCATGGGTCAACCGCCTGATCCTACTACATTTGGCTGACAAGGTAACTCGTAGGATATTAAATCCTAGATAGGTGGCCACTATGGTTTGAACTCAAAAGGAAAGCAGTCTTCTCAAGAAGAAAGTCACAGTCACACCGCTAATAGGCGGAAGAAGAGATTCCCAGCTACTGACTCTAATAAGACTAATAGCCGTACCGCAGAAAGAAGGTCAACCTCACCCCAGGTAATCACCGCTTTCTTCCCCTCAGGTCAAAGAGTAAGAACTCGCTTTCGAGCTAACCTTACATGGAGCTACCTGCCAACAAGCAACAAGAGTTCTCATTCAAGGCAAACTAAGCATTCGTTCGGAGTTGACAAGGGAGAGGGCTTACTTTCCTATATTATGTTTTGATGGATAGGCTGGCTGCACCTCCTTTGAGGTAAGAACTGTTCCTTTTGATTCAATTGCAAGAAAACAACCTCTTTTTAGAGTTTGATACGAACACTAAGCTAAACAGTCTATTTATACGGATTCCTAAAAAATGAAAAAATAGACTATTATAATATATGACAGAAGCATCACCATCACTCTGTAGGCTGTTGGATGCCCTTCTTCCTGGCAAGATCAGATCAATAATAGCCATAAGTACTTTGCTATTTACAATGACCCTCATTGACCACTTGAGCCATCCCATGATGGTTCACTAACTTTAAACCATAATAATAACTTTAAACCATAATAATAATATAGTTGACTAAACATGGTCACCAAAGAAGAAAAAAATAAAAAAAGAATCCCAACTCAGCCTCCAAAATAGAAAATGTATCATATGCTCAATAGGGTAATAATTTGTTGTGAGGTTTTATCAAATTGAAAGTAAGCCAACCAAGTTGGTTATTTGAGTAATTTTTATTTATTAGTTTAAATATATTTTTTTGATTTTCTTGATTTCTATGCTTTTCCAAGAAAACTTATCGGATCACTGTTTTATTAACATTTTCATTAATATCAAAATGAAATTAAGATGAGTATAGTTCAACGGTAAACAGCTACTCGAATAAGTTAATTTTAATCTTAAATTTTCAATTTCGTCAACTAAAACTCTACACTTGAATAACAGGAATTAAACAAGGGTAGATTATTGATACAATAGAAACCTCTGGTAAAATGTCCACCCGTAACCCAGCAGATAAAGTACATTATATAATCTGTTTTAGGGATTGGCTACTTACCCATTCAGTGACTTTGGCACTTCAAAAAATGGGTACTATATATAATATAGGGTCGGGTGAATTCAATAATAGACACATGTTGGCATTCCAACCTTCCTTCTCCTTTCGGAATTGGGGCCTACTCGAAAGAGAATCCAGTCTTTCTCATAATTAAAACCCTACACTTGAATAAACTGTCCAATTAATTCCATTAATTTGTAAAAGTTTCTTTCTTTCTTTTCCTTTTTGAAGATGTTGGACTAGCTATGAGCATTTTTATAGTTGAAGGATACTATTTTTGCAGGCATTGATTCTTCTAACGGTGTCGGATGTTTTTGAAGGATTTGAACATTTCATCTCTAAGTTTGAACTTCTTTTATTTGCTTGATTTTTTTACTAGGTTCACAATTGTGTTTAGACATTGACATTATTTGACGTGTTTTGTTAGTTGGTTTTGTATTACTTATTGGTTGATTCGTGAAAAGTTTTCACATTTAATTTTGATGAGGTATTAAAAGTAATTATTGAATGATAAATTTTGACTAATTATCCATTGTCACACGACTCTGCATAGAGGATGTCACATCTCATTTGGAGAAGGACTCTGAATCTAGATCATTCAAAGCAATTCAAAATTATTCAAAGATTCACAATCACTCAAAAGAATTCAGAACACTAAAAAACCACAGTAAGACTCTCTAGGGAGCACCGGTGTTGTGATGGGTGAGATTGGAAAGCCTATGTTAGATGAGATTTGATAGCCTATGTTTGGGGTGTATGAATGTGTTGTCAAGGTTTGAGTTGTCTATTTTTTTTTTGCTAAATTTTTTCCTTCATTTATTTTTTATTTTTAATCTATATTTCATAATTTATGTATTCCTATCTCAATTTGTTTATTTTCTTTTATTCACCGACCAACATGTATTTTAAAATTTAAATTCAATCAAACCGTAAACAATAAATTGGAATGAAGTTTCACATTGCATATAACAAAATATTTTGAATTGAACTAACTTGAAATAAAATACATTGTCTTGATTATTTAAAAATGATTAAGTTAAAAATAAAACTTTATCTTCAATGTTTTAATATGAATAAGTTTGAAAACAACTAACTTACACATGCTTTTGTTTTTGTTTTTATTTGTTTATGCAAATACAGATACTTGTAAATTTGAAAATTAAATAACTTTTTAATATGGATAATTTATAATTAAATATCATTTGATTTTATCAATTCAAAATAAAATACCATCCACTTTTTAAATATTGCTAATTTGAAAATGGATTATTGTTATTATTATAATATGATATATGCAAATTAATTATATTTTTTAATTTTAATATTAATAAGTCCAAAATAAACTAATATTCTTATCTTAAAATCACTCATTAAAATTTAAATATACATTTTGAACCATTATTGCTTGGATTAGGGGTGTTCATGAGTTGGCTTGGATTGGGTTAAGGTATCTTTTAAATTTTCAATTATTGGGATTGAAAATTTATTCAAGGATAAGTACATTAATAGATCCTTTAGAGATATTAATTACACAAAGGAATTCATTCTTAAAAATTTAAAATACACCACTTTGAGATGAAACCCATTAACATTTTACCAATATATCTTCTTTTATATACATATAATTAATATTAAAGTATAAAAATTCAAAATGGAAAAATGGTTGATTTGGGCAGTTTATGTTTTAAATACCTAAATTACTGCACCGTTTCACTTTCCTAAAAAAAAAAATTCCCAATTCTTAGTTCTCTCTTCGTCTTCTTCATTTTCGCTTTTTACCATTTTTTCCGGCAGCCACTCTCCTCGTCTTCTTAGTGTTCTTCGTTTTCTTCCATTTGTGTTACCGTCAGCCACCGCCTGACTTGTTACCAGACACCCACAGCAACCACCCACAGCCACCACCACCGCCTCCTTTAATGCCCGTTTATTCATTCGGAGGTTAGATTTTAATATTCCAGTATTTTGCTCCTCCTTCGTTTTTGTTTCAATTATTTGTTTATTTGATGTTTATTTCGACGTTTGGTTAAACTGTAGCACACATACATATCAGTTTTAGTCATTTGGGGGATGATTTTCGGGGTGTTTTGTGAGTGATTTTGGGGTATTCATTATATCGAAATTAGAAGAATTGTCATTGTCGTTTTAAAAACTATTTTTCACAAATGAATTGATTAATCTATGTTCAACTACTGTGATTATCGAGCCATACATGTTGGGCTTGTTTAATGATATACTCATATATAATTTTGTTGATATATATAAGCGTATGTATCCAATTTGCTAATTTTAAGCTTGGTTTTGGTGTATCGATTCTTCATACTGAACTCAACACTTATAAGTTTATAGTCGGATATGTAGTTTATATTTCGATAGAAGTGTATGTTAGAAGGGTTGCTATTGGGATATAATAGTATATAATTTAT